AGGCACGTTGTCGAAACAAATGAATAGGATTAGGAACAATGCCGTTTTGGACCAGCTGGTTGAAACAATGAAGTCAGTCACGGTCTTGTTGAATTGGGGGTGCGGTTAGTAATAGGCACTTTTCATGTTTTCAATTTTTGTTAAGAACTCTTCAATCCTGAAGCCGGAATTGGGGGTGCGGTTACTATTATGTATGCGATTTATATTAGGACTTTAACGGTACTCCTACACGGAACACGTGTTTTGATGTAAATAAACAATCTGTTGTATACGCCACTTGGAATTCAAGTGTCAAGGACACACTCGCGACAACCCCTCCGCTTTAATTTGACGAGCACAAAGAGAAAATTCAACAGGGACTGTGTCATTTTTAATGACTTGTTATTTGTACATTATTATAATTACTACTACTGAGTAATAATCGTAACTGTGGAACGCAGCATGACCGGATTTCACTGCCGTGATAATTTTCTACTAAGTGATGCATTTGTGTTTGTTTTATTTTTCTGTTGATCGTACAGCAAATGGTGAATGTTTTCTAAAGGATGATACTTTTTGTATAACTTTCTGAACAGGTTATTTACTTAGTCTTTAGTAAAATAAAGGCTGCTGTGACAAAGTGTCAGACTGTAACGTAAAATATTGCCAATAATGTATCACCATAATGAAGCAAGAACAATGGCTTGAAATACGGTTACTAGAACTCGAAGTGCTTGAAAAAAGCACCATTTGTAACAAAGTTGCCAAAATTTAACCACAAATAAGCACCACCATGAAATGAAAGTGTAACAAAGTGGTGCCCAGTTGAAGAAAAATATGGTAATTACAACTATCATAGGAGTGCAGGTACACATCTCTGTGCAGGGTACATATAATAGCTATCTCATTACTGTTTGAGAGCATAGCTATGTAAGTATTTTCTATCAAAAGAGACAACTCTTCGAAAAATTAGCAGGACCAATAAGATTTTAGGTGGGATAGCATTTTTCTAGGTTCACTAGACCTATTGGATAGTGATGAACTTTCTTGACTGTCTAACCTTGCACACTGTTGTGTTTTAGATCAACGAACAATTTCAGTCTTGCATCTTGTGGAGACAATTTTATAATAATTGAATTTGTGTTTTCCAGGATGCCTTCCAGAACCATCCAAAGCCCAAGATCATATTAAAAAATTAGCAGAATTACTTGGCGAGGATAACCAGGTCCGCATCCACTTGGAAACGATTGTTGCACCTGATTGTTCTTGTAAAAAAGCTGAACAAGCAGTGGTAAATACTGTGATATCTTAGTATTATGTCACCACGTTTCTCATTAACACATAATTTGCACCATGTATTTCAACTATTGTAAATACTGTGATATCTTAGTATTATGTCACCACGTTTCTCATTAACACATAATTTGCACCATGTATTTCAACTATTGTAAATACTGTGATATCTTAGTATTATGTCACCACGTTTCTCATTAACACATAATTTGCACCATGTATTTCAACTATTGTAAATACTGTGATATCTTAGTATTATGTCACCACGTTTCTCATTAACACATAATTTGCACCATGTATTTCAACTATTGTAAATACTGTGATATCTTAGTATTATGTCACCATGTTTGTCATTAACACATAATTTGCACCATGTATTTCAACTATTGTAAATTTTGAAAAAAATTTGGGTGTGATAGATACATAAGACGTAATGTAAGTGCAAAATATTAATTTTATTTTTATTAAACAACAGAAACAAATAATGATGAAAATAGGACATCCCAAACAAACTAATCCCTTCTATGAGAGTGTTAAAACGTTACTGGAGCGAATAGCACCACTGATTATTGACGTGCCTGCTGTCACTGCTTTAATCAAAATAGTGTGTGACCAGGTGGATGGTGTAGGTGAAGATTTTGATGATGCAAATGATGAAGACACAGTCCAGCATAGAGGAATGAAACTACTATTGGTAAGTCTCATTCCTCCTACACTAAATATACACTTATAAAAATAAAATGTTATTTCTACTGCTGTTGAACTTGCATTTCTAGTTACAATAAACTGGTTTGAAGCTTGTATAATTCAGTCTCCATTCTTGACTGTCTGGCTGCCATTGTGGTATCTTGGCCATGCTTTGTCATTTTTCATTCAAATTTGGTACATGTATTATACATGTTTAAAATATATATTTAAGGTAGAGATGCAGGTTTTATTTTTTGCTTTTTATTATCCAAACTGTCTTGGCTATAGACTGTTAAAATTTTGTAGAATTGTGAATAGTGGAACATACTCAAAAAACGATTTTAAAATATAAATAACAGGTGCAAACATTCTCTCTTTTGAATCCTTAGCAAGATTTAGCAAGGCTGTACATAAATAATAAAAAAGAAACATGGTGACAAAAAAGTAATGACGGGATCTCCATATTATGCACTATGTTTAACTTTTTACAAAAAGATAATAGGTTTAAATTTAGAACTGTTACATCCATTTTAATTATGAGCATTAGCAAACTTCTTACTAAGTGAATTGTTATGCAAATTAGCAAGTATCTCAGCTTCTTTTTAGTACACATCCCAGAACTTTAAAAAAAAAATAGCTCCTAGACGCTTTGACCTTTTGTTTTGAAATTTTCACAAATGATTGACAATGTGTTTATCTTCAAAACGCCGTCAGGGCTTTGTTTTTGGTTGAACAGTGTTACAACAATCGTACAGACAACTAGCCTGGGTGTTAATTTATGCATAAACTTGAAGTAGTGAAATTTGAGCTGCTGCCCTGCAAAATTGACAACTGGTAGACAGTTTTCAAGACTGCGCTTTCTTCATAGTAAACAGATGTCGACTTTGTCGAGCAGAGCTTATCATAGGAGTGATTGTCCGTCCCCTTCATCGTCTGTGTCAATATTTAACTTTTTCGACTTCTTGAAAACTACAAGCCTGAATGCTTTGATACTTGGTGTACATGTACCTTGGATAGACCTCTCTTAGGTTTGTTCATTTCATGTTGATATCTTCAATTCTCTAATTTTGGTGAATATTTTTGTCTTTTTTGGTAAAAAGTGATATTTTTGACTTCTTGTTAAAAACCGCAAGTCCAATTGCTTTGATATTACATGTATAGGTACTACATGTGGACCTCTCTCAGATTTGTTCATTTCATAATATCTTCAATTCTCTTATTTTGGTGAATATTTTTGTATTTTTTGGTAAAAAGTGATATTTTCGACTTCTTGTTAAAAACCGCAAGTCCAATTGCTTTGATATTACCTATATAGGTACTACATGTGGACCTCTCTCAGATTTGTTCATTTTCTAATGATATCTTCTGTTTTTAATTGCCATGTGCATTGTTAACAGCGGAGCTATCTCAGCCGACAGGCTGCTTGTTTTCTATGTCGTGATCCTACTTGCAAATGCTTAGTTATTCTGTTATTACAAAACTTGTGCTATTTGTCAATTATCGAAGTAATGTGTTATTTTATTTACAGACGTTATCTTACTCATTTTACGGTGCCTTTAGATCAGAAGAAACTTATGGTCATCTTATAAGTTTACTGCGCAAGGAAGATCACTTTACATCAGACCTATCACTGCAAGTTTTTACTCATGCTGCAACTGGCATTGAAGATTCTTACCCACAAATAGCATCGTAAGTGAACAGATATTATCAGTAACAAGATTGTCTTACCAAATATACCAATTAGACTGTCATTTAGCAATAATGACTTGATGACTCCCTCAAAGCCTCAAAAATATTAAAAAAAAAAAAGTAATAATGCCGTGCACACTAACAGGTTCACCACCAAAACATAAAGTGACGTTATTTTATGGTGCAAAATTGGCCCATTTTTCTAGAAACAGAAACGTGGTGTTTCTTCTTATGGAAACCATATTTTCTATCTTTCTTATATAACTAATTTCAGCTTTAATGGCAACAAAGAATGGTAATTCTTTCTTCATTTTGCTTGTATAGATACACTTTTTAAAGATTATAATTAAATGGTTCAAAAGGTGCAAAAAACTTTCATCACCTAAGAGAATCTGTTTTGCTGAAAGTGGCCGGGGGCACTGCAAAAGTTGACCCAGTGATCATAAAACCTTGTCCAAATATTTTGCACCACTTGACAGTCACGAAAGAGATGAATCAGAGTTATGGCAAAATAAATGTACACACTTTGTGTCATGAGGAAATTAAAAACATATTTTTATCAACACAGAATACTGTGTCTATTCATTCAGATATGATGCAGCTCTTTCAGGAACAGCATCCGCATTGCAACTAAGACAGTTCACACTTTGCTGTTGATACAATGTATCTAACCATGTAGATTACTTCTACAACTGTGGCACCAAGTGAGATTTGTTTTGTCTGAGGAGACTTAACTTACGTAAACATACTGTTGATTAACCTAGATTAAAACACACAATGAATGTTTGTAATGGCCATTTATTTCAAAAGAGGGTTATTTTTTAAAATCGTGATTGTACAATTGAACGCCATGGCCCAGTAAAAAAAACAAAAGAAATGTTACTATCTAGTATATAAAAAAAGTTGGATTAATTAGTGAAAAAGCATGCACACAGTTGAGCAAATCAATGTAAAAAAACACACAAAAAAACTAGTTTAAAAAGTTAATGATGTTGAGTTTGTGTTTCATCGGTTGTTTTTATATATGGAAACATGTATTCAGTGTTTACGGATGGGTTTGGCAACGGCTGTTCGGTAGTTGACGGTGGCATTGTGCTTCCCCATAGACATGTATATGGATATGCGTATGGATACTGATAATATACATGGGGTGATAGGGGTTGTACACGTTATTTAAAGTCTGTGTAATCACGCCATCAAACCATCGTTCACTAGTGCTATCGGTGGAGGTACGGGTTCTATTGGTGAAGGTACGAGTGCTATCGGTGGAAGTATGATGCTTGTAGTACAATCCGCCGGTACTTCGCTTTCTGGCATATTTTGTTTATCAGTGTTCGGTCGGCTAGATTCTTTAGTTTTTTTTCAGGAAATTTCACGGGAAATACTGAGTTCGTTTCTAGCGTTTTTTTTCACTGGATTGCCATGGGTCGGTTTTGTTTTCTTCCAATTGGGTTTTCTTTGTTGAAATTGTCAATAATTGTTTGGAATAACGCAGATTCGTCATTTGTCAACACTTTCCTTTTGAAGTGTTTATCTAGAATTGCCTTGTCGACATTCAGTACGGCGATTCGTGTGGCCAAACTTCCACTTGCTGTTTGAAAAAGATATTTTTTCTGGTAGCTACGAATCAAGGCGGCATGTATTCTTTCTCCGAACGTTGATTGCGATGACTCGTATGCCGTTTTCTTCTCTTTGATTTCTGTTAATAACTTTGATATTTCACCATTTAGTTTAGCGACGTCCTTTTTTTCTTCCTCGTGCCCACGGGCATTCAAATCACCGCACTGCTCCACTGTAACACATTTGTCGTTATGACATCAGTTGGCACGATGACCAGCGTATAGGTGACAATTTCCACATTGTATTCTGCCAGGGATTTTTTCTATTTGCTGGCAGTATTTGTTGGTAAGACTTCTGTGCTGGGACTCCAGATCTTGGAGTTCAGTTTCCATCTCGTCAACTTCTTTTTCACGTTCATGGAACGAGTTTTCGATTGGTGAACTGTACGTGAATGTGTGAAAAAAATCATCAGTGTCTTCCCGCATATGACTGCCGTCTTCTAAGTACCCCTCTGTGAACAATGTGCGTGGCTGGAGAGCGTCACTTTCATTTCGCCGAGTTGAAACGTTCTCTATTTGCTCATTGTCATGTGGGCTCTCAATACCCAAGCGTGAGGTCGGTGTCTGTAGCTTTGCTACAGCGTTGACGATCATACGTCGATGAACTGCGCTGACTTTGGTGGAAAACAGGTCCAGGTCTTTCGGCTTCAGGTATTTCAAGCAGTTGACATTCGGGAAGTCATGGCGAAGAAAATCATCAAGATATCTAAGTAAGCCCTTATCGATCGATTTGATAAACTCAAATGTTGTTTGCCGTTGTGGAGTACTGGGTGTGTTGCTTGCCATGTTGTCGAAATTGAAATGAATAGATAGTATTAGTGTTGTTAATTAATCGACAGAAAAATCGTTACGTAATAAATGTGTATAATTTTGAATAGGGGTGTACAGAGCAGGAACGCTTATTTTCCACTTTTGATTTGAACATTGGAAATTAGTGTTTTGGAAAATAATTATTATAGATGAAACAACTTAAAACGAGATGTTAGTGAGTATTTTGCTTATGAAATCTAAATTGTGGACCCCATTGTAAATGGATCATGGAATATCCCATGCATTTTGATAAAGTCGGGTTGTTATCTCATGGGCATTAAGCAGCACACCTGATCTACATAGAACCGCTTTATATACGCGCTTCATAGATTTATAGAAATGGCCCTTTTTGTTCTAGAAAACTCAGTCATCAAGGGTCACCATGCATATCACAGTGGAGTGTTCATGGGCAAAAACTACCAGTGTTGGATTGAAGATTTCAATCCGCATGATGTAAACGCAGTTGGAGTTTATGATGACGGGTGTTGGCAGGTCATGTACCATACCCATCTAGTACAGCGTTTTCTAGGATAGTACAGCTTTACCCCGATGTTCGGCTGATCTGCACTGGCTCGGAAGATGAATTCTGATTGGCTAAAAAAACAAAAAACTTGTGGCGTTGAATGCACGTTCATTGTCAGTATTGTTATGCAAATTCAAACTAGCTAATCATTTACAACCTTCCGAGCCAGTGCAGATTAGCCCCCGATGTTACTGTATACAGTGAAGTTACTGGGTTGCCTCGTCCAAGCGAACAACCATGGCCATGGATGTGGGCAAGGGGCGGTGGGATTATTATTGATTGTCGTTACATTGTTCATTCCAGTGCCACGTATCAAAACCAAGTTTTTGATGATTTACAAAACGTTACACAAGCTCTCCCGCAATGCCGCCTACATGTTGTATAACATAGAACATCACGTACGTTCAAACCAAACGGCCCTTTTTAGGGCCAACACATCCTTCAAAAAGAGAAACACCGTGCAATATAAGTGTAAAATAGTATGAGTGTGTTTACATAACCAAGTTTAATAAAAAAAAAAAAACATAACATAATAACGACAATAAATAACACCATCCATCACATCTGTGATGGTACATTTGTGGTATTAGTAAGCAGTTTGACGTTAACAAAATACAACGGGGTGAATGAACCCCTAAAAGGAGATTCACTTGTCTCTGATTTTTTTAAAATTTAAATGCCATCAATCGAGGTCATGAACATTGGAGGTCAACAACATAAACATTACGTTTAAAAAAACTGGACAAATAGTTCATGTATTGAGAATGCACTATTAATTCAAATTTAACTACCGTAAAAACCCTCAAATAAAAGCCACTTTGTAACACTTTCATTTCTGGGTGGTGCTTATTTGAGGTAACATTTTGACAACTTTGTAGCCAGTGGCTCTTAAACCAGGGTCATCAAACTTTTTCATTGTGAAATAGCGAAGGGGATAGGCAAACATGAT